AAGTGCTATAACCCCCAGAGCCTGACCTGTTCTGTGTCATGTCATGTCTGCTTACACAAGATAACAAGAAAGAGTTGTACCAGGCACATACCAAGCATCTCTTCCCAATTGAGACACCTGAAGGGAGCTATAACATTTTTTCTTGTTTTAAAGTTATTGGTTTGTGAAATGCTTGCTTTGAAACTATTGGCTGTATAAACGCGGGCTTTTGTGTAATGGTTGTGGAAGCCTATATAATCTTTACCTAAAATTGTCTCAGGGTCGATTGCCCTAACCAGACCTGCGTGTCTTGGAAGGACGGTCGGCCCTAGCCAGCTGGTTTAGTAAAACTCTGTTTGATTTTTGCATCTCCGTACTCTTGCATTTGTTCTTCAGAAGAGACCCACGGAGTCACGGACCCTAACACTAACAGTCTTCATAGCTAGCCACAGGAGATCTTATCTCCTTGTTTTAGGAGGAATATTGGTAGCTGACATGAAGCAGAGCTAGCCCCTCTGAAACCCCAGACCTCAGTCCCAGGGCCCCCTCTTATCTCCTCACATAGAGACATACTGCCTACTTTGCAAAATCATAGAGTTGTATCAGCTCACAGTGCTTGTGAAATTGTTTGGGGAACAGTAGGATCTTAGGTGCTACCACTATCATCATCGTTATCATCATCACCATCATCGCTGTCATCCTTGCCCTTCCTTGTTCATGAGTGCAGCAAATCCTCCATCTTCATAGTCCCCGACGGGGAGACCAGCTACAGAGATGTGCTCTGTTCTCCACTCCATGCAAAGCACCACAGGGTACCAGAAGAGTTATTGCTCCTGCATAATTTCCATCAGGAGTATCTCCAAGTCCCCCCAAATAAGTGTTTTTAACCACAACAAGGTACCTACTATGCAAATTAACTACAAAGTAAACCTCAAGACCATCCCCCCAACTCCATCTACCATCTGTATTCTTCATCCCCAATCCTTCCCAAGTAGAAATTCTAGAATTACTTAGATACATGATCAAGTTCACAGGGTTAAGAGGCCAAGGTGGCACTGGGCCACCCAGCTCCTGAGTGTGCAGTCTCGATGGTCAGTGTGTGATTTCTCCCGACACAGCAACCACAACTGTGGCAATTTTCCAGTGTTTTCAGCAGCCATCTTTGGTGCAGGCATCCAGGTGTCTATTAGTTACTTTTTTTTTTATTTTTTATTTTTGTGACTTGACAAAAGCAACTTAGGAAGGTAGGGTGGGTTTATTTTGGCTCCCAGTTTGAGGGGACATAGGTCATCAAGGCAGTGGGAGCATGAGGTCACATTGCATCCTCACGTCAGGAAACTGGAGATGAACGTTGGTGTTCAGCAAGCTTCTTACTTTTCTCCTTTATATTCAGTCTGGGATCACAGCT